TGAAGATGATCATCCAAATGTCATAGACCAAATGGAGCAAACAGCATGCAGACCTAGTGGTGGGAGGAAAAAATCCTTAAATAAGAGACACGGGGGAATGATTAATGGACTTCAATGTCTGTACACTAATGCGCAAAGCATGGGAAATAAACAAGATGAGCTTGAGCTCTTGGTACAGCAAACTAAATATGACATAATAGGCATCACTGAAACCTGGTGGGATAAGTCCCATGATTGGAATGTAATAATGGAGGGATACAATCTATTTAAGAGAAACAGACCAGACAAGAAAGGGGGAGGAGTGGCGTTATATGTCAGGGATGTGTATACCTGTGAAGAGATCCAAGATTTAGAACCTCAAAGCCAAAGTGAGAGCATTTGGGTCAAAATTAAGGGAGAGAAGAATAACAGAGACCTCATTGTGGGAGTTTACTATAGATCCCCAAGCCAAACGGAGGACATAGATGATGCCTTCCTGGAACAGATGGCCAAGCATGCAAAAGGAAGGGAGATAGTAGTAATGGGGGACTTCAATTACCCGGATATTTGTTGGATGTCAAACTCAGCCAAGAGCATAAGGTCAAACAGATTCCTCACTGGCCTTGCAGACAACTTCATTGTCCAGAAAGTGGGAGAAGCAACAAGAGGAACAGCCATTTTAGATCTGGTCCTAACCAATGTTGATGACCTGGTTAGTGGGGTAGAAGTGGAAGGATCATTAGGCGCGAGTGATCATGCTCTTCTGAAGTTTACTATACAGCGGAAAGGAGCAGCCAAGCATACTAGGACTCAATTTCTTGACTTTAAGAAAGCCGACTTCATAAAACTTAGGGAAGTGCTGGGTGAAATCCCATGGACAGTAATACTAAAAGGAAAGGGAGTTCATGATGGCTGGGAGTTTGTTAAGAGGGAGATAGTAAAAGCACAACGTCAGGCAATACCAATGAGACGGAAACATGGAAGGTGCCTAAAGAAGCCAAGGTGGCTATCTAAAGAACTTTTAACTGAGTTAAGATTTAAAAAGGATGTGTACAAAAAATGGAAAAGGGGGGAAACCACCAAAGAGGAATTCAAACAAATAGCCAGCACGTGTAGACACAAAGTCAGGAAAGCTAAAGCTTGCTAGAGAGGTTAAAAGCAACAAAAAAAGGCTTTTATGGGTATGTCCGTAACAAAAGGAAGAACAAAGAAACAGTGGGGTCACTCAGAGGGGAAGATGGTGAAATGCAAACGGGACACAGAAAGGGCTGAACTCCTCAATGGCTTCTTTGCCTCAGTCTTCTCCGATAAAGAAAACAATGCCCGACCTGAAGAATTTTGAGCAAATGATTCAGCAGAGGAAACACAGCCCAGAATAACTAAGGAGATAGTACAAGAATACTTGGCTAGTTTAGATGTATTCAAGTCTCCAGGGCCAGATGAACTGCATCCAAGAGTATTAAAAGAACTGGCAGATGTGATCTCAGAACCACTGGCAGTCATCTTTGAGAATTCCTGGAGAACAGGCGAAGTCCCGGCAGATTGGAGGAGGGCAAATGTTGTCCCTATTTTCAAAAAGGGGAAAAGAGAGGACCCAAATAATTACCGCCCAGTCAGTCTGACATCAATACCAGGGAAAATTCTGGAGCAGATCATTAAGCAAACAGTCTGTGAGCACCTAGAAAGGAATGCTGTGATCACCAATAGTCAGCATGGATTTCTGAAAAATAAGTCATGTCAGACTAACCTGATCTCATTTTTTGACAGAATTACAAGCCTGGTAGATGAAGGGAACGCAGTGGATGTAGCCTACCTTGATTTCAGCAAGGCATTTGACAAGGTGCCCCATGATATTCTTGTAAAGAAGCTGGTAAAATGCGGTCTTGACTATGCTACCACTCAGTGGATTTGTAACTGGCTGACTGACCGAACCCAAAGGGTGCTCATCAATGGTTCCTCTTCATCCTGGAGAAGAGTGACTAGTGGGGTGCCACAGGGTTCTGTCTTGGGCCCGGTCTTATTCAACATCTTTATCAACGACTTGGATGATGGACTCAAGGGCATCCTGATCAAATTTGCAGATGACACCAAACTGGGAGGGGTGGCTAACACCCCAGAGGACAGGATCACACTTCAAAACGACCTTGACAGATTAGAGAACTGGGCCAAAACAAACAAGATGAACTTTAACAGGGAGAAATGTAAAGTATTGCACTTGGGCAAAAAAAATGAGAGGCACAAATACAAGATGGGGGACACCTGGCTTGAGAGCAGTACATGTGAAAAGGATCTAGGAGTCTTGGTTGACCACAAACTTGACATGAGCCAACAGTGTGACGCGGCAGCTAAAAAAGCCAATGCAATTCTGGGCTGCATCAAGAGGAGTATAGCATCTAGATCAAGGGAAGTAATAGTGCCACTGTATTCTGCTCTGGTCAGACCTCACCTGGAGTACTGTGTCCAGTTCTGGGCACCACAATACAAGAAGGACACTGACAAACTGGAACGTGTCCAGAGGAGGGCAACCAAAATGATCAAAGGCCTGGAAACGATGCCTTATGAGGAACGGCTAAGGGAGCTGGGCATGTTTAGCCTGGAGAAGAGGAGGTTAAGGGGTGATATGATAGCCATGTTCAAATATATAAAAGGATGTCACATAGAGGAGGGAGAAAGGTTGTTTTCTGCTGCTCCAGAGAAGCGGACACGGAGCAATGGATCCAAACTACAAGAAAGAAGATTCCACCTAAACATTAGGAAGAACTTCCTGACAGTAAGAGCTGTTCGACAGTGGAATTTGCTGCCAAGGAGTGTGGTGGAGTCTCCTTCTTTGGAGGTCTTTAAGAAGAGGCTTGACAACCATATGTCAGGAGTGCTCTGATGGTGTTTCCTGCTTGGCAGGGGGTTGGACTCGATGGCCCTTGTGGTCTCTTCCAACTCTATGATTCTATGATTCTATGATTCTTAACCCGAGGTACTATTTCTGGGTTAGCGGAGTCTGTAATCTGAAGCGTCTGTAACCCGAGATATTATCTTGTGATTGATTACCCCATTCTGTACACACATGTTTGTTTTGATGCGGATTTCATTATTTCCAAGCTCACTAATGCAGTGCACGATTGACTATCTTCATACATTTGTTTTTTTTTAATAAATTTTTATTGGGTTTTCACATTTTATATAGACAACACAAAGACACAAAAACAAAGACAAAACATGTATAATTTCAACTCCTTACTTTCTTAACCACACTCCCTGACTTCCCCCCACCCCCCCTTCATACATCCCAATTCCAATAGTTAGCTCAGCAAGTTCTTGTCTCTCATCCTTACCATATTATTATTATTTTTTAACTTAACTCTTCTTAGTTGGCCAAATCTCACTTATACAAATCTCTTATAAACATTATATCCTTTTCTAAGGTCGACCCAGATTCCCTTCCACGAATTTCCCATTTTTATATTAAATATTGGTCATAATAACTAAACACAAACATCATAAAAAAAAAATTCTTAAAATTCTGTTTTCACCTCCCTCCCTTCCCCAGTTTCAGTCCCTTCCCAAATAAGTGTCCACAATAACAGTTCTTAGCCTGGATTTCTCACGTCCGAGGCCTTCAAATCTCTGTCAGTCCCTCTCTGCCGGTTTTGTTGGTAGTCCTTTATGTTGGTCATCAGGTCTCGAAGGAGCTCTATCACAGTCAAGTCAAAATTTCTTCCAACCAGTCCTCCATGTTCAAAAGGGGAGCCCCAATCATATTTCTTATTTCTTTTAAATCCAAATGTTCCAAGTGCTCCAGGGGCTTCCTCCTTCGTCTTACGCAGATTTGTAATCCATGTAATCCATAGATCTTCTTCCTTGTATTCCACAAATGTAGGCTTCTGGTTGGTGCTTTCCACCTGTACTTTTTCCACTCCTTCTTCCCTCTTCTCCAATTCTAAAGATATCTCTTCTGATTCGGCTGCAGATTTTTTTCCAGTCGAGTCCTTAACACAATCAGCAGAGTTGCTTACTTTAAAATTCAAGGTCGCAAGTCCTATAGTCATAGCAGTGCTCTGCTCTTGCAATTTTCCCACAAGAAAGAACATTTTTTCCAGCTCAGCCTGTAATTTTCCATCTGCAGCCATTGTAATGTCTCAGAATTCCCCCTAGAGGGATTCTGGTTACTTAATAGTCCTTCTCCAACAGTCCGTTACCTTGTTGTTTATTTCTTCTTTGTTTCCAACAACTTAAATTCAAATGTAGCACATTTAGTCCAGAAAGATAATAAATGACAAATTTTTCTTAACTACTCGTTTGACAGCTCCTTTGACAGCTGTCAAACTCCTTATACCTCCTCAACAGGCTCACACAGGACGCTCCCGGGTACGGGGGGGGTTACACAGAAACTTCTAAAATTCCACTCTTACTCTCCAGCACTAAACTTCTTATGTCAAATCGTGCAATTAATATCTTTTATCTCACAAAGAGAGGAATGGTCTCTCCACCTTAGTTATCCAATTCTTGCTTTAAATCGTCTGTAGGTAGGGGGGGTGCGGACTTCCCTTTAGCACATCCCCCGGTCGTACCGAATTCAAAGGTAAAAAATTTTTAAGTCCAGATTCCGTTCTACTCACGGGTTGTTTCTTTTCGAGTCCGAATTTTCAAGGAAAAAAGTCAGCGCTCTCCGGCCATGGCTCGCGGCTTCACTCCACTGAAGTAGCGGTCTACTCACAGCACCACGCCACTCTCCGTACCCTCTCCGAAGCATTTAAAAAGGCTCTTCGTGGGTCGGGGGGGCGCTTAAGGTGCCCGCCGAGTCACCAAGTCCGCAGGCTTCAGCGCCTGCGGTTTCTGAGGGTCTCCGCGTAGCAGGAAAAACCCGTCTCCAGTAGAGCCGATTCCCTCCGGAGCTCGGAGGGAATCCGCCATTAGCCGATCGCACTAACCCGGAAGTCCGACTATCTTCATACATTTGGATGGGCAAATCTAGGTCTTTTAGTACCTGGATAAACCACATTACATGCTAGCAACAGACTCCCGTATTAGATATCTTCAGTGGTAGCGGCAGCAGTATAGGAAAAGGCAGTAGAGGCGGCAGCAGCAGCAATATAAGCACAGGAGGTAGAGGCAGCGGCATAGGCACAGGCGGCAAAGGCACAGGCGGCAAAGACAGTATAGGTACAGGCGGTAAAGGCACCAGCGGCATAGGCAAAGGCAGTAGAGGTATCATCGGCGGCGGCATAGGAATTGGCGGTAGAGGCATCAGCGGCATTGAAAGTGGCACAGGCCGTAGGTAGAGGCACAGGTGGCAGCGGCACATGCGGTGGAGGAACAGACTGTAGAGGCACAGGTCGCAGCAGCATAAGCGGTAGAAGGGCACAGGTGGTAGAGGGACAGGCAATGAAGTCATCAGTGGCAGTAGCACACGCAGAGGTACAGGCATTAGAGGTACAGGCAGTGGAGGCATCAGTGGCACAGGTACAGGTGGTAGCGGCACAGGCATTAGAGGCACAGGCAGCAGCAGAGGCACAGTTGATAGAGGCACAGGCGGTAGCAGTGGCAAAGGTGGTAGAGGGACAGGGGTAGAGGCACAGGAGGCAGAGGAGGCATTGGTAGCAGCAGGGGTGGCAGCGGCACAGGCAGTAGAGGCACAGGCAGTGGAGGCATCAGTGGAGGGGAGAGACTCCATCAGGCAAGCCTCCTTCCACCTGCCTTGCCTCACCCTCCGGCCCTAGGAGTCCTCATAAGTTCCTGGAGGAAGAACTGTGAGGGGAGAGACAGGTGGCAGTGGCACAGGCAGTAGAGGCACAGGCGATGGAGGCATCAGAGGCAGCGGCACAGATGGTAGAGGCACAGGCGGCAGCGGTACAGGTACAGGCGGTAGAGGCATCAGCAGCTGTGGCAGAGGCATATGTGGTAGAGGCACAGGCGGCAGCGGCACAGGCAGTAGAGGCATAGGCGGTGGAGGCAGAAGAGGCCGGGGCAGCGGCACAGACGGTACAGGCACAGTTGGCAGAGGCACAGGCGGTGGAGGCACAGGCAGGAAAGGCATTCGCAGCAATGGTAGAGGTACAGGCGGCAGTGCCAGAGGCACAGGCAGTATAGGCACAAGCGGCAGTGGCATAGGTGGTAGAGGCACAGGCAGTAGAGGCAGCAGCGGCTGCAGAATAGGCACAGGCGGTGGAGTCACCAGTGGCAGGGGCAGAGTTACAGGCGGTAGAGGCGGCAGCGGCATAGGCAGTACAGGTATCAGCGGCAGCAGCAGCATTAAAGGCACAGGCAGTAGAGGCAGCAGCAGCAGCACAGGCAGTAGAGGCACAGGCGGAAGCAGAAGCGGTACAGGCAGTAGAGGTACAGGCGGTAGAACCACGAGCGGCATCGGCATTGGTGATAGAGGCACAGGTGGCAGCGATAGCGGCACAGGCAGTAGAGGCACAGGCGGGAGAGGCAGATGCAGAGGCGGTAAATGCAAAGGTGGCAGCTGCAGCTACACAGGCCATAGAGGCACAGGGGGTGGAGGCATCAGCGGCAGTGGCACAGGTGATAGAGGCATCAGTGGCAGCGGCACAGGCAGTAGAGGCACACGCCATGGAGGCATCAGCGGCAGTGGCAGAGGCACAGGCAATAGAAGCACAGCGGCACAGGCTGTAGAGGCACAGTTGCTAGGGGCAGAGGCACAGTCGGTAGAGGCAGAGGCAGCAGTGGTGGCGGCACAGGCAGCAGCAGCACAGACAGTAGAGGCAAGGGTGGTGTGATGGCCTGGGATTCAGACTTGGATGCTGAACTTGAGGGATCCCAGCCTGCACAGGAGTCCCTGCCTCCAGAACCAGCTGAGCCGGGGCTGGGGCATGAGCCTGAAGGGTCCTCACCTGTGCTAGATCCTCAGGTGCAGGCACCAGCTGAGTCTGCTCTGGCTCCTGAGGTGATGGAGGACCCATTGCCTGCAGGTGCTCCACTCTCAGCCCCGTCAGAGGAAGCTGAGGTTGCCTCTGGGTCCGGTAACCCTCCAGCCTCTCCTGAGCTGCAGAGGTTCAGGGCAGAGAGGTGGAGGGAACTAACTTCCCGCAGGAGGAGTGCTCACCTCCAGGCCAGGAGAGGCGAGTCACCAGAGGATTGGGGCTGCCCTAAGCCTCGGGGCAGATAAAAGCCGGCCAGTCCCAAGTTGCGGGAGCAACATTGTTGGTTGCTACTTCCTGCCTGAACCCTGTCCTGCTTACTTGCCTGACCTCCTGACCCGCCCTGGCTCCCTGCTTGCATGCTTGTCCCTGACTTTACCCGACTCCCTGCCCTGCACCCAGCTTCATCTGCTACAGCGACACAGGCAGCACAGGCGGTAGTGGCACAGGCAGTAGAGGCACCAGCAGCTGTGGCAGAGGCATACGTGGTAGAGGCATAGGTGGCAGCGGCACATGCGGTGGAGGCAGCAGGACAGTTGATAGAGGCAAAAGCGGCAGCGGCAGAGATGGTGGAGGCACAGGTGGTAAAGGCATCAGCGGCAATGGCAGAGGTACAGGTGGCAGTGGCAGAGGCACAGACAGTAGAGGCACCAGTGGCAATGGCAGCGGCATAGGCACAGGCAGTGGAGTCACCAGCAGCTGCTGCATAGGCTTAGGCACAGGCAGTAGAGGTACGAGCAAAAGAGGCAGCAGTATAGGTACAGGCGGTAAAGGCACCAGAGGCAGAGGCACTAGGGGCATCAGCGGCAGGAACATAGGCAAAGGCAGTAGAGGCACCAGCGGCAGTGGCAGAGGCATAGAATAGGCGGTAGAGGCAACAGTGGCAGTGGCAGCAGTATAGCTACAGGCGGTAGAGGCACCACCAGCAGCAGAATAGGCAGAGGCGGAGGCACAGGCGGTGGAGGCACAGGTGAAAGAGGCACAGGTGGCAGTGGCATAGGTGGTAGAGGCACAGGTGGCGGAGTTACAGGCAGAAGTAGAAGCGACACAGGCTGTAAAGGCACAGAAGGCAGCGGCAGTGGCACAGGTGGTAGATGGACAGGCGATGAAGTCATCAGCAGCAGTGGCAGAGGCACAGGCTGCAGAGGCATCAGCGGCGATGGCACACACAGAGGTGGAAGTGGCAGAGGTGCAGGTGGTAGAGGCACAGGTGGCAGTGGCAGAGGTACAGGCGTTAGAGGTATAGGTGGTGGAGGCATCAGTCGCAGTGGCACAGGCACAGGTGACAGCAGCACAGATGGTAGAGGAAGCAGCACAGACAGCAGAGGCACAGTCGGTAGGGGCAAAGGCACAGGAAGTAGAGACAGAGGCAGCAGTGCTAGTTGCACTGGCGGCAGCAGCGGAACAGGCAGTAGAGGCACAGGTGGTGACAAATTGAAATTGCAGAGTTTTGAGAAATTAAAAGACAAAGTGCAAGATTGGTTGCACTATTATCAAATAAGAGAGGCTTATCTGGACAAAAAAAATGGCTTCCAGGTGGAAAAATCAAAGTTGGAAACAGAATTGCTAGATTCCAAAACTAAGATACTTTCAAGAATGTATAACTTGCTGTTAAAATGGAACACTCAGGACGAGACGGTTAAATCTGCTATGATTAAATGGGCACAGGATCTTGGACATAACATTATGTTTGCTGACTGGGAACAGTTGTGGACCACAGGTATGAAATTTACGGCATGTAATGCCTTAAGAGAGAATATTATGAAAATGATATACATAACACCAGTCAAGCTTGCAAAAATTTACCATTTGCCCGATAATAAATGTTGGAAATGTAAAGAAACTGAAGGTACATTCTTTCACCTTTGGTGGCCCAAAGGCTTTCTGGGAGATGATCTATAATGAAATGAAAAAGGTATTTAAATATACCTTCCTGAAGAAACCAGAGGCCTTTCTCCTGGGCATGGTCGGCCAATCGGTGCCAAAGAAGGATAGAACTTTCTTTATGTATGCAACAACAGCAGCAAGAATACTTATTGCAAAGTATTGGAAGACATAAGATTTACCCACCCTGGAAGAGTGGCAGATGAAGGTGATGGACTATATGGAACTGGCGGAAATGACTGGCAGAATCCGAGACCAGGGAGAAGAGTTGGTGGAAGAAGATTGGAAGAAATTTAAAGCAGTTCAGGCGGCAGGGGTATAGGCGGCAGAGGAACAGGTGGTAGAGGCATAGGTGGTAGAGGCACAGACGGTCAAGGCATCAGTGGCTGTAGCAGCAGGATAGGTACAGGAGGTAGAGGCAGCAGCAGCAGCGGCATAGGCACAGGCGGAAGAGGCAGCGGCATAGGCTTAGTCACTGGCATTATAGGTACCAGTGGTAGCGGCACAGGCAGTGGAAGCACAAACAGCAGTGGCAGAGGCACAAGCGGCAGTTTCAGGAGCACAGGCAAAGAGGCATAGGCGGCAGCGGCACAGGCGGTAGAGGCACGGCCGGCAGTGGCAGCAGCACAGGTGGAAGAGGCATAGATAGCCGTGGCACAGGCAGTAGAGGCACAGGTAGTGGAGGCATTAGGTAGAGGCACAGGCGGTGGAGGCATCTGCAGCACTGGCAGAGGCATAGGCGGTAGAGGTACAGGCGGCAGTGGCAGTAGCTCTGATTGAAGAAGCATAGGTGGCAGCGGCACAGGCGGTAGAGGCATAGGTGGTAGAGGCACAGGCACAGGCAGCAGAGGCACAGGTGACAGAGGCACAGGCGGTGGAAGCACAAAGGCAGTGGTAGAGGCATAGGCGGTAGAGGCACAGGTGGCAGTGGCAGCAACTCAGGCGGTAGAGGCACAGGACTCATTTGGTAGAGGCACAGGCAGTGGGGGCATCAATGGCAGTGGCAGAGGCATACGCGGTAGAGGTACAGGCGGCAGTGGAAGCGGCACAGGTGACAGCAGCACAGGTGGCAGCTGCATGGACACAGGCACAGAGGCACAAGCAGTGGAGGCATCAGTTGCAGAGGCAGAGCTACCAGTGGTAAAGTCACAGCCAGGGGAAATACAAGAGGCAGGGACAGCGGCACAGGCGGTAGAATCACAGGCGGTTGAGGTATCAGCACCTGTGGCAGCAGTATAGGCACTTTGGGTAGAGGCATCAGCGGCAGCGGCATGGAAACAGGCAGAAGTATAGCATCTAGATCAAGGGAAGTAATAAAGGTAAAGGTACCCCTGCCCGTACGGGCCAGTCTTGACAGACTCTAGGGTTGTGCGCCCATCTCACTCAAGAGGCCGGGGGCCAGCGCTGTCTGGAGACACTTCCGGGTCACGTGGCCAGCGTGACATCGCTGCTCTGGCGAGCCAGAGCCGCACACGGAAACACCGTTTACCTTCCCGCTAGTAAGCGGTCCCTATTTATCTACTTGCACCCGGGAGTGCTTTCGAACTGCTAGGTTGGCAGGCGCTGGGACCGAACAACGGGAGCGCACCCCGCTGCGGGGATTCGAACCGCCGACCTTTCGATCGGCAAGCCCTAGGCGCTGAGGCTTTTACCCACAGCGCCACCCGCGTCCCAGATGTACTATGTAGGCACCAGTGGAACCGGCAGAGGCCTAGGCAGTAGAGGCTCGGGCTGCGGAGGCACCAGCGGCAGAGGCCCAGGCAGTCAAGGCTCTGGCAGTGGAATTACTAGCGGCAGCGGCAAGGGCCCAGGCGGTAGAGGCTCTGGCGGCGGAGGCACCAGTGGCAATGGCAGAGGCCCAGGCGCTAGAGGCTCAGGCTGCGGAGACACCAGCGTCAGCTGCAAAAGCTCAGGTGGTACAGATTCGGACAACGGAGGCACCAGCGGCAGCAGCAGTGGCGCAGGCGGCATTGGCTGAGGCGGTAGAGGCCCAGGCGGTAGAGACTCTGGAAGTGAACGCACCAGCGGCAGAGGACCAGTCGGTAGAGGCTCTGACGGTGGAGGCACGAACAGCAGCGACAGAGACCCAGGTGGCAGGGGCTCTGGAGGCGGAGGCACCAGCGGCAGTGGCAGAGGCCCAGGCAGTAGAGGCTCACGCTGCGGAGGCACCAGCGGCACCGATAGAGGCCCAGGCGGTAGAGGCTCTGGCGGCGGAAGCGGCAGCAGCAGAGGCCCAGGCTAAAGAGGCTCAGGTGGCAGAGGCACCAGCGGCAGCGGCAGAAGCTCAGGTGGTAAAGATTCGGGCAACGGAGGCACCAGCTGCAGCAGCAGTTGCGCAGGCGGCATTGGCTGAGGCGGTAGAGGCCCAGGCGGTAGACAGTCTGGATGTGGAGGCACCAGAGCCAGAGGCCCAGGCGGTAGAGGCTCTGGCGGCGGAGGCACCAGCGGCAGCGGCAGAGGACCAGGCGGTAGAGGCCCTGGCGGCGGAGGCACCAGCGGTAGAGGCAGAGACCCAGGCTGTAGAGGCTCGGGCTGTGGAGGTACCAGCGGCAGCGGCAGAGGTCCAGGCAGTCGAGACTCTGGCGGTGGAATTACTAGCGGCAGCGGCAAGGGCCCAGGCGGTAGAGGCACTGACGGTGGAGGCACCAGCAGCAGCTACCGAGACCCAGGTCGCAGGGGCTCTGGAGGCGGAGGCAACAGCGGCAGTGGGAGAGGCCCAGGCGTTACAGGCTCTGGCGGCGGAGGCACCAGCGGCAATGGCAGAGGCCCAGGCGCTAGAGGCTTAGGCTGCGGAGACACCAGCGGCAGCGGCAGACGACCAGGCGGTAGAGGCTGTGGCGGCGGAGGCACCAGCGGCAGAGGCCCAGGCGGTAGAGGCTCTGGCGGTGGAAGCTGCAGCGGCAAGGGCCCAGGCAGTAGAGGCTCAGGGTTAGGAGTTACCAGCGCCAGCGGCAGAGGCCCAGGCGGAAGAGGTTCTGGCGGCCGAGGCACCAGCGGCAGTGGCAGAGGCCCAGGCGGTAGAGGCTCAGGCTGCGGAGGCACCAGGGGCGCCGGCAGATGCCCAGGCGGTAGAGGCTCGAGCTGCGGAGGCACCAGCGGTAGAGGCTCTGACGGTGGAGGCACCAGCGGCAGCAGCAGAAGCTCAGGTGGTACAGATTCGGGCAACGGAGGCACCAGCGGCAGCAACAGTGGTGCAGGCAGCATTGGCTGAGGTGGCAGAGGCCCAGGCGGTAGAGGCTCACGCTGCGTCCGCAGCACGAGCCTCTACTGCCTGGGCCTCTGCCGGTGCCGCTAGTGCCTCCGCCGCCAGAGCCTCTGCCACCTGGGTCTCTGTAGCTGCTGCTGGTGCCTCCGCCGTCAGAGCCTCTACCGCCTGATGCTCTGGTGGTGGTGCCTCCAGTTCCAGAGTCTCTAACGCCTGGGCCTCTACCGCCTCAGCCAATGCTGCCTGCACCATTGCTGCTGCCGCTGGTGCCTCCATTTCCCGAATCCGTACCACCTGAGCCTATGCCGCTGCTGCCTCCACCACCGGAGCCTCTTCCGTCTGGGCCTCTGCCGCTACCGCTGGTGCCTCTGCCGCCTGAGCCTCTACTGCCTGGGCCTCTGCTGCTGCCGCTGGTGACTCCAGTTCCAGAGTCTCTACCGCCTGGGCCTCTACCGCCTCAGCCAATGCCGCCTGCGCCACTGCTGTTGCCGCTGGTGCCTCCGTTGCCCGAATCTGTACCACCTGAGCTTTTGCAGCTGCCGCTGGTGCCTCCGCCACCAGAGCCTCTTCCGTCTGGACCTCTGCCGCTGCTGCTGGTGCCTCCGCAGCCTGAGCCTCTAGCGCCTGGGCCTCTGCTGCTGCCACTGATGCCTCCGCCGCCAGAGCCTCTAACGCCTGGGCCCTTGCCGCTGCCGCTGGAACTTCCGCCGCCAGAGCCTCTACTGCCTGGGCCTCTGCCGTTGTTGCCTCCACAGCCCAAGCCTTTACCGCCTGCACCTCTGCCACATGGGCCTCTGCCGCTGCCGCTGGTAACTCCTCACCCTGAGCCGCTAACGCCTGGACCCTTGCCGCTGCCATTGGTGCCTCCACAGCCATAGCCTCTACTGCCTGGGCCTTTGCCGCTGCCGCTGGTGCCTCCGCAGCACGAGCCTCTACTGCCTGGGTCTCTGCTGGTGCCGCTGATGCCTCCATAGCCTGAGCCTCTACCGCCTGGGCCTCTGCCAATGCCGCTGGTGCCTCCGCCGCCAGAGCCTCTGCTGCTGCTGCTATTGCCTCCGTATCCCGAATCTGTACCATCTGAGCTTCTGCCGCTGCCGCTGCTGCCTCCGCCACCTGAGCCTCTTCCGCCTGGGCCTCTGCCACTGCCACTGATGCCTCCGCCGCCAGAGCCTCTAACGCCTGGGCCCTTGCCGCTGGAACTTCCGCCGCCAGAGCCTCCACTGCCTGGGCCTCTGCTGTTGTTGCCTCCACAGCCCAAGCCTTTACCGCCTGCGCCTCTGCCACATGGGCCTCTGCCGCTGCCGCTGGTAACTCCTCACCCTGAGCCGCTAACGCCTGGACCTCTGCCGCTGGCGCTGGTGACGCCAGTTACAGAGTCTCTCTTTTTTATATATATATAAAATTTTTATTAGGGTTTTTACATTACAAAATAGAAAAAGAAAAAAAAATACAAAAAAGTTAAAAACAATCAATCTTTTCATCACATTATTTTTCATTTACTTGTTTCCCGGAACTCCTCGTACCTCTCTTTTTTGTATTCCCGTTCAATTTATTAGCTCAGCAGTTTCTTTCCCTCTTTATTTTACCCAGATCTTTAATCTTAAATTATTATATCATTAAATTTTACTTATAAAAAGCCATTTTTTCATATTCTTTTATACCATTACAGCTAGAAGCCACTTAATTTCAATCCAACATCATTCTAACATTCATTAATTTTACAGTATCTCTGTAAATTGTCTTTAAATTTCTTCCAGTCTTCTTCCACCGACTCTTCTCCCTGGTCTCGGATTCTACCAGTCATTTCCGCCAATTCCATGTAGTCCATCACCTTCATCTGCCATTCTTCCAGAGTGGGTAAATCTTGTGTCTTCTAATACTTTGCAATAAGTATTCATAGAATCATAGAATCATAGAGTTGGAAGAGACCACAAGGGCCATCGAGTCCAACCCCCTGCCAAGCAGGAAACACCATCAGAGCACTCCTGACATATGGTTGTCAAGCCTCTGCTTAAAGACCTCCAAAGAAGGAGACTCCACCACACTCCTTGGCAGCAAATTCCACTGTCGAACAGCTCTTACTGTCAGGAAGTTCTTCCTAATGTTTAGGTGGAATATTCTTTCTTGTAGTTTGGATCCATTGCTCCGTGTCCGCTTCTCTGGAGCAGCAGAAAACAACCTTTCTCCCTCCTCTATGTGACATGCTTTTATATATTTGAACATGGCTATCATATCACCCCTTAACCTCCTCTTCTCCAGGCTAAACATGCCCAGCTCCCTTAGCCGTTCCTCATAAGGCATCGTTTCCAGGCCTTTGACCATTTTGGTTGCCCTCCTCTGGACACGTTCCAGTTTGTCAGTGTCCTTCTTGAACTGTGGTGCCCAGAACTGGACACAGTACTCCAGGTGAGGTCTGACCAGAGCAGAATACAGTGGCACTATTACTTCCCTTGATCTAGATGCTATATTCCTCTTGATGCAGCCCAGAATTGCATTGGCTTTTTTAGCTGCCGCGTCACACTGTTGGCTCAT